ACCCAGAATTGTCCTGTTACATTTTTATTTGGCATATTTAAGTTGTTTTCTTTTGTCTTTTATTTCCCCAATGTGCTCCAAGTCTGCCAGGGCAGGGTGAGATACTGATCTTGGGGAGTGTGGGTCAGGCCTATCAGGCAGTCTCTACATGTCCCTTGCTCCCAAGACATATGGCCTCTTTGTCTGCCCGTGTAGCTGATGCCACATCCATGCATGCATGTCGTGGCACGGTGGGCTTTGTTTGACCCAGTTATTTCTGACTCAATACTCTGAAGACCTGAAATCCACAGTTTTAAAATTCCCAATAAGTTACTTTGTCCCTGCCTGAATTCCTTCCTCCATGTCATGCCTCCTGGGTGCACGGCAGGGGCTGGCTCTTTTGGAGACCCCACATACACTGACAGGTGGCTGAACTGGTCTCTGGCTCAATCCAGAAGGGCCTGGCAGTGTGGGGTTGCTGGTTCAGCCACAGCCCTGGTTTCTGGGGACATTGGCACACTCCTCTTCCCTCTTGTCCTCTCTGCTGACTGACTGCCTTGGCGTCTCTGCACCCTGACCTGGCCTCCATTTCTCTCCTGCTGCAGTTGGAGGGGAGCATTCCTGGATTGGGGAGAGCCCCAAACTCCTCCATCACCATTTCTCTCAAATGTTCAGTTTGTCCCTCAATCCTCCTCTCCCTTATTATCTACAGACCCAGATCTCTGGGGACCAGAGCCCACATAATTTTCCCCCCATATTGTGTCTCTTCCCTGAGGATGTCCCCACTGCTTGCTAGGGGAAGCAGAGGAGCAAGAGCAGGCCAACAGTCAGTGAGTGGGTGGGTTTTCCACAGTGGGAGCTGGCCTCCTGGCCTCCTTCCCAAGGCTGGGCGAGGTCAGGGTGAGCCTCAGGAGCTTGCTGTGCCTGGGACCCAGGGCTGAAGGTACTTTCATTGCCAGCTTGACCTGTGTAAGTTGGGTTACGTAGATGTGTTTCTCCTGGAGTTCCTTTCCCTTAGGAGTTCCACCCTTGGAGGGAAGAAAGGAAGAGTGGAATAAACATAAAATGGAGGTGTGCGTGCCTGTCTGCATAGGTAGATTGAAACTCCTTGCCTTGCAGCCTCAAGGGCCCTTCCGATTCTGCACTTCACACAAGCATTAATGAGCCCTTGGAAGAGGGACATTCATCCATGAAGGTGTCTTGCCCTCCCCAGAGAGGTGTTTGGTCACAGGCTTCCAGGCCTGCAGTCATTCAGGTAGCTTTCTCAGAGTCACACTTGCATAAGGGAACCTCCTCCAGGCTGGGCTGCGTCAGGCTATTTTTTTTTTTTGTTGTTCTGGGATCTTTCTTGGTTGGGGGTGGGGAGTTAACCTTCCATGGTTACAGGAGGCTGCTGTGCTTTCTCAAATGTGTGAGCATTGTGTCCCTTAGCAACAGCTCGGAGGCTAATTGGGAGCTTTTGCTTAGGAAGTGTCACTAGGACTTGTTGAGTCCTATTAGGAGCCATCAGAAAGTGACAAGTGACTGGAGAACTCACTGCTTAACCTTTGGTCACCCCGGACACATGGCCAGCAGCTTTCACTCCTGAGTCCTTAAGACAGTAAGCAGTGCATTGTGTTGGGAAAAGCAGTGGGGCCTCCATCCAGGCTGTGATTAGAAGGGAAATGGGGTCATGTGGTTCAGGCACCTCTGGGCAGAGGTGCAGCAGGGGATGGCTTGCATTTTCTGCAAATCCATGAAGTTTTTCAGGATCCAATGGTGCTGTCTGAAGGAGCTTTAGAAAAATGAGGCCCAGAAGGGACCGGCAGTCCTTCACTGAGTGCCTACCCTTTGGCCCTGTACCAGTTGCCTGGTGGGGAACAGATCAGATTCCCTTACGGAGTTTCCCTCTGGGCAATGGAGAAAGATACTAAATGCATATGTTGTAGACAGAACAACAGTAAGAGTGCAGAGATACAGAGGACAGGAGGTGCTTTGGGAAGTGTGCATATCTTGGGGGGGGGGGGTTGTGTGAGCTTTTTCAAGGAGGATCTGGGCCGTTTTTTTCATCTGTCCTTGAGCCCCACTCAGGTTCCATTCCACATTGCCCTGTTTGGTGTCTCCAACAGCTGCTTCCTCTGCCTGGCTAATTCAACACAGGCCAAGGGTGTGGGGGTTGTCAGTGCTTGGAAAAAATCACTAAGCTCCCCGCTGATGTGCTCTGCTGGCCCTCTGCTCTTCCAGGCTTCCTCAGCAGCACTACAAAGCGGGGTCCCTTCCCCCACCCACCTGGCCACCATGAGTTCATTCCTGGACCACTCTCACCTCCCAGATGTGGCATGAAAAATTGAAACGGATGGTGCTGGTTTTCTTTTCCCATTTTTAATGACTTGGTGGGGCTTGTTTTCGTTTCTCTCTGGTGAGGAGCAGACTGGATACTTAGGTGTGATAGGAGAAAGGGTGCCACAGTTTGAAATGGGTTTGCCAATTGCCTCTGGTTGAAGGCAGATAGGGAAATTGAATAATGCATCTTGAAAGTGTTGATTAGCATTCTGATGAAGGTAAGTGGGAGATCTGAAAGGAAATCTTCCAGAAGTGTTGGTAATTTATCCCCTGGGCAAATCAATTGCTCTTCTACAAAGCATATCCGCCTCTCAATTCAGAGTCCAGGATTGAAAAGGAGCCCTACTGGATGCATGTGGCCTGTCCCCAGTACTTGGCAAGGGACTGAGTAAATATTTGCTGAATGAGTTCATTCATCTTCTGCAGGCTTCACAGGGCCTGGATGAGTATTTGAGAAAAGCTGTGGGGATTTTCTCCAGAGATGTGCCATCACAGAGACTGGCACACAGTCTGAAGGGAACTTGAGAACTTGTGGGTTCTTTTGAATCCATTCACGGCCTCCTACAAGTACCAGGTTAAAAACTCCCAGACCACAGTTTATATCTGTAAAGTTCCCTGCACGCACAGTATGCCCGAGGTACCCACCAGACCCCAGTGTTTCTGTGTTGTTTGAGCACTGGGTGGTGGTGCAGATGGTCTGGGAAGGCCAAGATATAGAGCCACGTGTCAGCAACATCTCTGATCACCTATCTCAGCTGCCAGGGGATCCACAAAATTGACTTTGCCTCCCAGAAATTGGAAAGATTCGGAAAAACTGGGCCTGGATTGCTTATAGCAACAATCAGCTGAACTGGTATCTACAACCTGCTTAAGAAGGGCACGTTGACCAGTTTGTCACAATCCACCCTCACAATCCCTTAATTTTGGGACAGACTTTACTTCTATTTACTACTTCATCTCATCTGCTATTTTCTTATAATAGAGTTCAGTAGAAATCTTCTGCTACTGAAGATATATTGTTTATCTTCAAATACAACCCTCTGTATATACATATGTATCTATAAAAGTCTATACTTATGTGGGGCTTGCACTCCATTAAACCCATCTTAAGTTGAAAATACTGTAAGTAAAAAAATTCATTTAATAAACTTACCCTGCTAAATGTCACAGCTTACCTATCTTAAATGTGCTCAGAACTCTTGCATCAGTCTACAGTTGGGAAAAATAATCTAACACAAAGCTTATTTCATAATGGAGTGTTGACTATCTCCTGTAATTTGTGGAATACTGGTATCCCCAAATGCTGGTAGCACAGTACACCACAGAGTGTTGGTAGTTTACCCTTGTGATTGGTGGCTGATTGGGAGCTGCCATTGTCCAGCATCATAGAGACTATCACTCTACATACAAATACCCCAAGAAAAGATCAAAATTCAAAAATTAAAGTATGTTTCTACTGAATGTGTATTACAAAAGTAAAGTTGAAAAATCATTGTCAAAACCATTGTGCACTGGGGACCATGGTTCATATATACATATACACAAATACATGTGGGTGTATGTGTGTGCTCATTCATGTGTATGTATATATATAATAGATATAATATGTATGTATATCTTACATATTTATGATTTTCTTCCCTTTCTAGGGCATCTTCAAGGTATTTGATCTGTAACCCTGACCTTCCTCACAGGGTTGCTGTGAAGATTTGGAGAACCGATGCATGCAAAGCCCTAAGCATAGCACCTGAAACACAGTAAGTGCTCAATAGCTTTGGATGGCATTACTAGTCCTTGGGACCAGAGGGCTCTTCTGGAATCCAAGGCCTTGCCTTCCACCTGCTCAGAATGGGCATTGTTTGGGACTGGGCGCCCTCTGGTGGCTGTTCTTCAGATTCACGGCCCCCTCTTTCAGACAGGAGAATTGGGGGTCCAGAATGAAGGGTGGGTCTGATGAGTACCTCAGCATACTGTGTGTACAGGGAACTTTACAGATATAAACTGTGGTCTGGAGATTTAAACCTGGGGCCTGTAGGGGGCCATGGATGGACTTTTAAAACCTTACAAATCCTCAAGTGCCCTTCAGATTGTGTGCCAGTCCTTGTGATGACACATCTCTGGAGAAAATCCCCACAGCTTTTCTCAAACACACACACCAGAGAAAATCCAGAGAGGTGGGTTGGGAGAAAACTTCATCTTTCTCATCATTTATTTTGCCTCTTTCTGGCCTTAATGAGGCTGGGGTCACCAGGTCTGGGGATAGAAAGAGGGGAGCCACTTTCTTAGCAGTAGAGGCCAGAGGCCAGGAACTTCTTGGGGATCTTGGCTGCTGGATTCCCCCAGGGTTAGCCCTTTCTCCTTCAGGTCACCTCTGATGTGAGAGTTCCTAAGGCCACCTCAAGACAGAGTGCAGGACAGCTTCACAGCATATCCACAGAGATCCCCCAGGCTCTTATGAGGTAATTTTATTTCTTTCCATTTTAGGTAAAAATAGTAAATACAAGATAATCTTAATAAAGGTAAAAATACATCATTTGGATTTTTTTTTTGTTCTCTAAACAGTGCTACCTACAGTACAATTTTTGATTTAGGATTTTTAAACATTTTTTTAAATAAACAAATAGAACTATTTTACTATTAGGCTATCTGTGTTCTCATCTGGCACTTAAGAATAGATCACAGGTCACCTCCCGGTTCTGGCTGGATGTGTATGTGGGTGGCATGGGGCAGTGAGAAGGGGTCATGGGATGAGGAGGTTTGACTTCCCGGGACACAGCCAGAGCTGCAGTCCCATGTGCCATGGGAGGGCACACGTGTGCATCCAAGATGGCCTTTTCCTGCTCTGGCTACAGGAATGTATTTCACTGAGGCTGGACTAAAGGCCTCACCTGTGTCAGGGCACTACTCTTCCGAGTAACTTTTCTTACCCAGCAGCCTAGTTTCATAACCACTCTGGGTCCAGGCTCCTGGCTGGAGATGTCAGTGATGTGCTCGAGACTGAGCCAGTGGATCCCCTTGTGTCCTAGAGGAGTGGGCCAGGACCCTCCCCACCAGAGCTGGGGGCCAGGGTATCCAACCTGGCCTTGGAATGCTGGTAGAAGTCACAGATGCCCACTGGGCTGCTAAATGTCCTTGCCCTTGTTCACCCTCAGGTGGTCTTTGTTTAAGTTCTTTCCAAATTTCTCACTGAGCTGTTGGATCAGGTCAGCCAGCTCGCCAGTAGCTTGGGACTTCTCTTCAAGAAGCTCATAGCGCAGGCTAGAGATATCCTGCTTGATTTCTTTCAATTCACCTGCAAGGACAGAGGAGGTTTTGCTGAGTGAGAGCAAGTAGAAGGAAGGGGCTCATCCCAGGTACACGCGGGACCAGCTGCCAGGGGTAGAGGTGAGGCAATGTCAGCTCTGTCTGACCTAAATACTACCCAGCTTCCCAATATCCAGGAACACAGTCCTCTTCCTCCCATTCCTGGAAAGCCTCGCCCTTTGTGGCTAGAAGGAGGTGTGGAGATCAGGGCTGTGAATTGTGTCTAGCACTTATCTTGAGACTGTTGTTCCTGGGGTCATTAATGGCACATTTCAAGACTGAGCAACACCCTCATTAACTGGAACATTTATTTTCATGATACTTTATGTTTTGCTCTGTCGAGATCTGCAGGGAAGGGAAACTTCAAGGCACCTGAGAGAATGGCTCAGCACAGTGGCAGCCACAGAGCTGCCAGTCTCCTAGGAGTGAGCCAGGTACCCCAGTAGGTCCCCTTTGTCCACACAGGCAGCATGGCCTCACTGATAGAACCCTCACGGATGCCTGCCACCACCTCCTCCCATAACAAGGGACCAACTAGGGACCTTCAATTTAAAAATTTTTTTTCAAGTTGTTGATAGACCTTTATTTTATTTATTTATATGTGGTGCTGAAAATTGAACCCAGTGCCTCACTCATGCCAGGCAAGTGTGCTACCACTACCTAACCCCAGCCTAGGACCTTCAATTTTTATTTCCACAGTGAACAATGTGGTTAGAAATCACAGGGGTCTGGGCTGTGGGAATCTTTTTATTAACCACAAAGAAGAGTAGAAAGATTCTTTCCTGATATTAAGATACTGGACTTGACTCAGTGGGAATCCACTCCCTGTGGACATGTTATTTGAATAATATGAAAATAGATATGAATCTGTTTTCCAGGCAGAGATCATGAAAGTATGGCTAGATTCATCTTGACAAATGGATCTATTTTTTTTTTCATCAGGTGCTTCACTGAGCCCCATTTTTGTGGTGTCATTTAAGCGGCAGGACACCTGGTTTTCCCCACCTTCTGTAGCAATTGCATTCATGTCCATTATAGTTATACACAGCTTGAGGCTGGCAGGCATGACACCTGGCAGTTTTATACTTGGGGTGGGTAGATGGGTGCTACTCAGTCCCTAAGCAGTGTCAGCTCAGGAGCCAGCTCAGTCATTATTGAGGTTGCACATTAGGTGCCCAGAAAGAGGCAAAAGTCCTCTCAATGATCAGACTCTTTGTAGCCCCTGTGGCCCGAGTGAGGAGGAGACTTAGTGCCTTTGGTCATGGACACAGCCATTTCTAGTAGCAAATATCCTAGGTGTCTCACGGAGATTAATGATCTGGTATAAGGTAATTTGCTTTTCACTTAAGAGGAATTGCTTAAAATAGACTGGAAAGTAACCCAAACAGTGAAAATAATGCAGTTGGAAAACGTCAGTGTGCCTGAGAGTCACCTGGTGTTATTATCTAAAATGCAGACCCCCAAACCCCACTTTAAATATAGCAATTCATTAGGTCCAGGTGGGGTTTGGGATCTGCAGTTTTAACAACTGGTACAGAGTTGGGGGATACTTTTAGGGAAACTGCTAGTTGTCAGAGGCTGAGAACCTGAAACCGAGACAGGACAGGTCTGGTTGGAACTGATCCAGGGGCAGTCTCTGAAAATGGAATACAGGTTGCTCCCTCTGTATGTGCACCCACAGAATGAGGTGGGGTACTGGAACTTTGGGCCATCCTGAACTCAAGGGACCTGAGGCTGACTCAAAGCAGCCATCACTGCAGTAGGCACAATAATGTCTCCCACCTCCATGATGTCCACATCCTAAACTGTGGAGTTCACCTGAGAGTGTGCTGTGTTACACGGCACACAGGGACTAAGGCAGCAAACAGAATCGAGCTTTCTTTGCTGTTGGCCTTAAAATAAGGAGATCATTCTGGGTTATCCAGGAGAATCCAATCTAATCATGAGTTCTTAAGAGTAGAGGAGGAAGGCAGAAGAGTGGGGCAGAGACAGAGGATGAGAGACAATAGGCAGGAGAAGTGGTAGCATGAGGGGAGGGAGGCTTTGCTGCTGGTGATCTGCAGAGACAGGAGGTGGCCTCTGGAGCTGCACTTGGGGCAGCCTCAGCTGCACCAGCAAGGGAACAGAGACCTTGGTCCTGTTGCCTCATGGAAATGCACTGTGCTTACGAGTGAGGGGATGGATTCCCCCCAGCCTGTGGAAGGGAACACAGTACCCCAACCACACCGTGATTTTTGCCCTGTGACACCCACACCTCACTTCTGAGCTTACTGCTGCTGTAGGGCCCCACATTTGTGGTGATGCAATCCCTTACCTTCATTGACTTCATCATTCTCTCTGTCCACCTGGGCCTTCAGGACATATCTTTTTATGAGCCGTTTCATGATTTTCTGAAATGTGAAGCAAGGAGGAGTTCGGTATGCCAGGCCTTGCATAGAGGCAGCCTACATGGTGTAGCACGAGGCCCATGTCTCTCACAGCACCTCAGGAGTCCCTGGGACATGCTCAACCCTGGTGCCTTGCTCAGGATGCCCTGCATAGTGGGGGAAGCTGGCCAGCCTTCTGTTTAACCTCCCCAGTTCCCAGGATTCAATGTCCACTTGACCTGGGATATAAGAACAGGACACTTCTCAATGGCAGGAGGCTGAGCCACTAGAGAGGGAGAGATAATGATTTGGAATGCACTGTGCTGCTTTAGGGTCCTAGGCCTGATTCTACCCTGGCCAGTCATGGCCTCTTTCTCAGTTCTATTTAAGGAGGGGATGTTGGGAACATCTTATTAGGTTAGCCCAGGTGGAGCTGTGTCCCCTAGAGGTTGACGGTGAGAGGTATGCCATTCACAAGAGGAGATTCGGTCGGTACAGAGGTCAGGGCTAGGCTTGGAGGACAAGTCCACCATACTTTGGAAAACTCTTGCCAGATGGAGCAACAATTATACAAGAGAGATCGTTTTCCACAAAATCCCACAGGCCCGACCCCGTGTTGCCAGTCATGATGAAGAAGGGTTTGGGCCTGAGGTTCCAGTTATTATGCAGTCACTGTGTGCTCTAAGCAAATGAAGCATGAATAAACACTTAAGAGACACCAAGAATAGAGCCAAGTGTAAGAAAGACCGCAGGAGGTGAACTTTGGATTTTGTCAGCTAGTTGATCCAGGGTTCCTGTGAAATCTCAGGATTTAAAAATATTCTGGAAGTTGAGACTTCTAACTCTTAAGAGAGATGAGTAGCATGGAAAAAAGGGAGGGATTTCCCTGTCCCCTTAGTCCTCCTGTCCTGTGGCCTATTCATGTGTTCACACTTAGGACAAAGGGACAAGGCAGCATTTTCCAGACTGAGGAAAACTTTAAGGGCTTGAACGCTGTTCTGGGGTGTTCTGCTATGTGACCTCATACGGGTTGCTAAGTTCTGAGTACGTGGGCTCTGGAAAAGCTTCCTGGAAGTAAGAAGGAAGTGAACTGGGTGCAAAGAGCTGGGGGTACTACTCATTTTTATCACCATTTGATGGTTCTCTCCATGAAAAGGAAGTGTTTCCAGACTGTGATTCCAAGACTGTGACTGACCCTGGCCAAGGCTCTTGTCCACGACTCTGCAGTGACTTGTTCAGGCCCGTGTGCCTTTTTTCTGCCATGAGGTTCACATCCTCCTGGCTCTAGGGTTTGAGGCATTGGAATGGTTTATAAGCAAATTGTCTTTCTGCTATTCCTTCTCAGAGAGCATGGGTCTTCCCCTGTCAGTGTCATGCAGAATTTCTCAGGGACATTCTTATAGATAATAGAGTAGGGTATCTAAGTGTTATGGCTTGGATATGAGGTGTCCCCCAAAAGTCCACATGTGAGACAATGCAAGAAGGTTCAGAGGAGAAATAACTGGGTTGCGAGAGTCTTAACCCAATCATTGAATGAATCCCTTGATAGTGATTAACTGAGGAGTAACTAAAGGCAGGTAGGGTGTGGCTGGAGGAGGTGGGCAATGGCGGCATGACTTTGGGGTACATATTTTGTATCTGGTGAGTGGAGTCTCTCTCTGCTTCCTGATCATCATGTGAGCTGCTTCCCTCTGCCACACTCTTCCACCATAATGTCCTGCCTCATCTTGAGCCTCAAGGAGTGGAACCTGCTGTCTATGGAACGAGACATCTGAAACCATGAGCCCCCAAATAAAGTTGCCCTCCTCTACAATTGTTCTGGCTGGGTTTTTAGTTACAGCAGCAAAAAAGCTGCCTAAAACACTAAGTTATAAGAATATGTACCTTTCCATGAGACTCAATGATGTTATTTTCATTTCTTCTTCTTCTTTTTTTTTTTATTCCTGAACTAGCAAAATCTAGGGCTCTCTATCACCTAACTATATCCCTGGCCCTTTTAATTTTATTTTGAGATAGGGTCTCACTATGTTGCTCAGGCTGGCCTAGAACTTGCAATCCTTCTGCATCTGCCTCTCCCTCCCTGTCCCTGGGAGTGATATTACAGGTGTGCACCACAGTGCCAGGCTTTTTTCAGTTTGAATTAGAAAAATAAAGCAAAGCAAAAACATTGTTCTATGCCAGGGTTGGGGAGGGGACAAAAGTGCAGATACCTAAGTATCTGTCATTCTCACTGAATAAAAAATTCAGAAATACTCTTCCACTGCAAATGTTCAGGATAACACAAGTTAAAGGGATCTAGTTAAAGTCTGTTGCTTTTTAAAGGACAAACTTTAAGAATTAAGGTTTCCTTGGTTTAGATCCATCAATAAAAGAAGCTTATTATTTATGATAATAAGCCAGGGCCTGGGAGTTCAGTGGCACTGAGTTGAATCCTTTCACGGGTACAGCGGTTATTCCTGCTCAATGTGTACTATTTCTGTACCACATGATTAAACTGATTATATTTTAAAAATCTCATGGGTTATTATAACAAAATATTCCCCTTAGGCTCTATTTGGTTTGAATTGATGAAATCCGGCTCATAGGCCTCCTTTAATACTGAGTAGCCCTCCAGTAGGAAAGGATAAAGGATGGAAAAGAAGCAAAGAGACAAGCACATCAAGTCCTTCCTCTAGACCAGGATTGAGCTAGTCTGTCTCACAAAAAGATCTGAGTCCTCCCAGAAACTCAGTGAAATAGGAGTTGTGATCTCCATTTTCAGTAGGACACTGCCCCTGCCCCCATGCCTTTAGATGCTCAAAGAGCAAAGGGATTTCTCCAAGGTCACACATAGGAAGTGGCAGATCTAGGATTCAGCCCAAATGGAAACCAAAGCCAGGGATTTATCTGGACTTCAGAAAGAGGGTAAGTGCAAGATGGGTTAGGGAAGGAAATGCTTTGCTCAGTAACTGGTTCCATTAGTCAGAGGAGGTTTGGACTGCTCTTGTTGTGCAGGAGGAAGCCTCACTAGGTTTCAGAAGGTGGTGCCTCATCCAGTGTCCATCCTTGGGCAAGAGGGTCACTGGCATAGCACTGGGATTAGTACTCATGCCCACTCTTGAGCACTGGCATGACTGTGCAGAGTGGGGTTCCTACAGACCTAGGCTTCAAAGTGAAGGTTTGCTTTTATGCATTAGGATCATAGATGCTTCATGGAAGCAGATCCTGATGGGCACTGTGAGTGTGCAGGGACTTTTTGATATTCTTCTTCATCCCCAAGTTACTATCAAGATGACAGGGACCTTCAGTGGGAGTAATGTGATCACTTACTGTCCGTAAGAGATTTCATGTCCTCATGGGGATAACTTCCTCTTTGGAAGTTATTTGAGGCACTGGAATGGTTTATAAGGGACCTTCTTCTAGACAATAGAGTAGGATATCTAAGTGTTATGGCTTGGATGTGAGGTGCATGTTGGATAACTTGGAATCTGCAAGACCAGAATGCTGATATTATCACCAGAAAGTCTAAAATGATTGGAAAATACCCTGAAGTTCTATTTAATATGATGTCATAGAGGATATCTGTTTCCAGAGAAGATGGACATCAAAAGCCTCCTTTCCTTCATTATTTGGGGACAATGTGTTCCTTTGTGATAAGTTTGAGATATCTCCTTGCTATCTTTCCTAAGAGCACTTTCAACTCATGAAGATAAACTTTCCCTGAGCAAATATGTCCCTGTTGGTGGCAACTTTCCTGCCCCTGCCCCCATGCCTTTAGCAAGCACTGGAGAGGAGTATATTTAGCAATATTACTCAGGCAAAAGAAGACTCAAGTGGATGCAGATGGGATGCACAATGAATTAGAATGGTTGTCCCGCAGAGACCTACATCTAAGGAGAAAGGCACACAATTCCTCCAGCCCAGACTTCTAAGGGTCAGGTGGCCTCTGGCTGCTGGTGGTGGATGGGAAAATAGAATATCTTTCTATGGGTGATGAGGCTATCTGTGCAGACAGAGTGGTTAAGAACATAGATGAGGAAGAGAACACATATGTAGCCAGTATGTACCAAATAAGAATCCAGAGGGAAGTCAAGTTCCAAATAGGTACAGAGAAATTGAGGAATGTTTAGAAGAGAGTGGACAAATGGATGCTAGGACAAGTCATTTGTTAGACTGGGGTTTATCAAACCCTGGAGTAGAGAGAATAAGCATTAGCAATTATCTATTGGCTTTGATATACTCTATGCATGTATAAATACACCACAGTGAATTCCACCTTCAGTGTAACTATAAATCAAAATAAATAAAATAAAATGAAATGAAGACCAGTGAAGTAGAGGAAGAAGAATAGGGGAGGGTGGAAGAGAGAGTGGGTACCAAAATGGAGTAAATCAAATTCTAAACATGTATAAGTGTCAAAATTATGTATAACTACAATGCACTAATAAAAAGAAATAAATAAGAGGACTTTCCCCTGGGTTTGGGAAAGAGACTGCATGGTAAAGATCGGGGCTTATTTGAAGGAAGGGCTGTGCCTATCTTCTCTGGATTATATGAGCTGTGGCTTGTTTGCTCTGCCCATGAAGAGTAGACAAATGTACCTGTCAGAGAGTGGGCATTCAGGATCTGTACACCCACCCCCAATACATTGACACACTGGATCTTGGAACAGGTCACTAGGTAGCTCTGAGAGAAGGGATGCTTTGGCTGTCTCACCAGTATCAGGGTTTTGTATTTCTATTGGGTCTCCAGTCCCCAGAACCCAGAATGGAAAGGATTGCAAAAGCAAGAAACTGGTTTTTGGGAAAAATAACAACTCGGACTCCTGGGAGACTAAGAAAAGCATAGAATGCATAGAAAAGCCTCTGAAGTCTGCCGTGTCTTTGCTTACAAAGACGGGCTCCCCAAAGTTGGAGAATTGGCATTAAAGTAAACACTGCAACAATCATGAAGATCTAACGAAGGGACATAAAGGAAGCAAGTTGAGGTGGCATTTCTGGGGATAGCCTGGAGAGTAAGCAAGAGTGAGTGATTTGGCTGCTCATGTTCTCTGCACATCTGGAAGCTTCTTTGGAATGAAAGCATGCAACTTTGACACCCTCCAATGTGTCCAAGGAAACAGATGAGCCATCATCAGACCCCTGCCTGAATCTGTGCTTTGGCTTCACCTGCTGCTGCTGTAGCCAGAGTGCAGAAGTGTCACTGGAAGCTTGGAAGGCTCAGACACATCTCACCACAGTGACCATTAGACAGGTGAAGCAGATTCTGAGGAAAGCTCTGGTGCAGTACTATGAAGATAGGTGACAGGCAAGCACCTGGATAATGCAGTGTGATGAATGAGTCAGACAGTCACAGTTCAACCAGCTGTGTGACCTGAGCCATGGAGACTCAGTTTCCTCATCTTTTAAATGGGGTGAAAGACAGCCTTCTCTCCTAGAAATGTGGTGAGTCTACACCTGGGCTAGTGTCTAGGCTGCTCACAGCTGTCATTTTGGGTCATCTCAAGGTTTCCTCCTATGGTGAGCAGTGGATGATGGCTCAGGAAGACACCAGAAATAGTCTGATAGTGTTGAGCAGAGTGTCCATGTGTAAATGCAAGGTGCTCTCAGCCCTACTCAGTCCCAGCAAACCTTTCTCTCTGTTGCTTGCTAGTGGGATTTTTTTCACAACTATTTGAAAAAGTAGCCTGGGGCTTTTCTACATGGATTGACAAAATACAAGGTGAGCAGAGCTTTCCAAGGTCATTCATAGCCCAAGGCTGCAAACCAACCAATCTCTGTAATCACGGCAGGAAGCTCTTGGGAGATTTATGGCAGGAGGGGCTCTACCTAGGGTGATAGAAGACAAACCAGATTGCTCTGAAACTGATTTTGAAGACAGTCTCGGTCAGAAAGGATTCATTCTGGGTACAGGACATTCACACCTAATCAGTCTTCCTTTATCTCTGTAGCTGATTCTGCTCAAAATCAGGAGAGATTTGGACCTAACCCATTAGGGTGTTCTATCTTTTTCATGACACAGATAATCTATACTTCTTTCTGAGAAGCTGAGAAATAAAAATCCTTCCACTGATCAAAGGATTTGGCCTGTAAAATAACTCAAAGCTGATCATCCTGGGCAGTCCAAATTTTGCACACGATAAAATACAAGATTTGCCCATTGCCAATTTTTAGTCCATGTCATTTGATAAAACTATAAGTGCTTTGAGGGATGAGCTGTTTCTTAATTGTACAATTAAATCCTCCTCACTGCACAGCTGGCTTCTGAAATATGGATGGAAAGATTCAATTAGAGACCTGTGTCTGGAAGATGCTAAGTCTGTAATTGCTCCCTGTGGGAAGGTGGCACTAGGGACATGTCACCTCAGCCCAAAGGAATGCTCAGGACACCTTTAAATTCACATCTGACAAGAAATGATCAGTATGGATGAAACTGCTGATGGAGGAGAAGTGGGAGGTAGGAAAAGAATGCCCTGAATTTTTATAATCCAGTACCTGTAGTTAGCATTTATCAATACCTCATGAGCTGGTTCAAATGGATACAGAGATTTAGCATTCTTTTCTAGAAGTAATGCAAGAATTACAAGCTCAGAGGGGTTTTTTTCCTCCAATTTTTCTAACAGACTTGACAAGCTGGCAGTCTAAGGGCAGGTGCTCACTGAAGACAACAATATCTATCTTGTTGCTTAAGAACCATACCTGGGAGTCATGCTGGGTGCTCCCCCATGTCCACCCCAGAATCAGGTCTCCTTGGTTGATTGTCCAGAATGTACACTTATCCTGTCTGCTTTTCTCCACTGTCCTGCTCACACCCCTTATGCCCAAACGACTGTCACATTCTCTTCACTGATCTCCTGTCCCTTCTCATTAAAGCATAAATATGATTTTATCATCGCTTTTCCCGGCAAAGTTCCCCTCCTGCCACTCGGACCTTCTTAGATTACTATAATACACTCCACATCCATAGTGTCCAGATGCTGCCTTCCCACTGCCCTCATCTCCCTCTGCTCTCTCTGCCAGCCGCTAAGGACCTATCAAGCTTCTCCCATGGATCTCTACAAATGCTCTGCCTCTTCCTGGAAGCCCCCCATGGCTGCCCTTTTCTCATCCGTGAGGTCTTGGCCAACAGTCCTCTCCTTGAAGATGCCCTTTCAATTAGGGTTTCCCTAGTTTTCTCTATTTTAAACCCTATTCTTTTCCTCTAGGCTCTTTAGTCAATTTGATGGCATATTCTTATCTGTGTGTTTACTCATTCATTGTCTCTCCTGTCACTAGCCAGCCTGGAGGTGCCATAAGGTAGGAACCACATCTGTACTCTCAGTAAGCAGCACAGTGCCTGGCATGTAGCAGGCACTCAATAAATATTTGATCAGTAAAGGAAGGAAGGCAGGGAGCTGTGCTCTGAGGTAGTCATAGTCATGTGACTAAATCTGTGTTTTTGTGGTGTCTGCTCCTGCCCGTGCTTGTGAAAGGGTGGTTACCTGGTATCTGGTGGGCTTGCTGAAAGTGTTATTTGCTGTCAGGTTTTCAGAATTCCTCATGCCAGCCTGGTAACGAGTCTTCTGGAAAAAAAAAAAACAAAACATATATACACTTATGGCAGGATTTGAATGAACAATATCCACATATGGGGTGACTCTATAGGAACCTCTGGAAGCCGATTTGCCCTTGCTGCTTGGCTTTATAGAGCACTATTCCTGGGAACTTTAGTTCTATGGGATGTTCACAAGGGTTACAGAATGTTGTCTGGTCAACCAGATTTGGGAAGCTCTAAGTTAAAGTTATGTGGGTATCTTTTCTCTAGGACTCCTCAGAGCTTCTGCTAATGGTCATTGAGAATCTACAGGAAGGGAGAGTGGGTAGGGAAACTTGCCCAGAGACCATTCTTTAGATACTTTGTGGGGAAAGATATTCCATTTCCAAGTCCACTGAAGAGTCCCTGTCACTGGGGTCATGGCTCAGCCAGGGTGCAGGCAGCAGGCAGTGTGCTAGGTCCCCAGCAGAGCACTCTCCAAGGAAGAAGGGACAGTACCGCAGGTAGCCTCTGATGAGTTGGGCCTTTGTGGATGTGCTCAGTAGATTCTAAAAGACACTAGCCCCTCACAGCTCCAGGCTTCCCTTGCGTTAGGGGCCACTATCCAAACTGAACACACACAACTCCCTCCCCCAACCTGATGCTTTTTCTAGCCCCATAAACCAGATGCTACCTACCCTGAATTTGGAATTCAGCATGCCCATTTCAAGGTCATTTTCACAGCTTTTGGCCTTAGATTTGCAGAGTTTTATGAGGCACATCTTGATTCTCATTATGAGATAATAAAATGATTTAGGACTTGGCACTAGATTAAAAGGAGCAGGTAGAGTTCTTCCTTCATCAAAGTAAGACAGCCAGAGTTTTGCTCGGGCAAATTTCCATTCCACATCTGCATCCTCCTGTGGAACAAAAGAATCAATGATACGCCATCAAAGGCCAGGACCTAACAACGGAGCTCAGTGTGAGGAGCGGAGATACAGTCTACGCATTCTGAGAACAGACTTCTAAACAGGGCTCTCGAGCTCTTGTGGATTTCACCGTCTCTACAGATGCCATAAAGATGGGGCTTGTTCTCTCTAAGACCACCTGCATTCATTAGTCTTAAAGCTCTCCACCTACCTCCTTGGAATTCTTCATGGTGGAAGAGCCTTGGCCAGTGTATGCCACCCTCCCCTATTTCCTATGGAGACTTTTCACCAACGTTCTCCCCTTGCAGCTTACCAAAGAACTTTTCTCCCTGCCACGTCATCTTGCTATCCATTAATTTTTACAGTTCTGTTGGCAGATTCACCAACTAGCACAGCATCAAGGTATTTGTTGATTGTTTACAGAAGTGCTGCCCAATAGAAATGTATTGTGAATTCACAATAGCTAAACTGTGGAACCAACATAGATGCCCTTCAGTAGATGAATGGATAAAGAAAATGTGGTATACATACATAGTGGAATATTATTCAGCATTAAAAGAGAATAAAATCATGGCATTTGCAGGCAAATGGATGGAGTTGGAAAATATAATGCTAAGTGAAGTTAGCCAATCCCCAAAAGCCAAATACTGAATGTTTTGTCTGATATAAGGATGCTGATTCACAATGGGCTTGGAGCAGGGAGCATGGGAGGATTAGATGAACTCTAGATAGGACAAAGAGGTAGGAGGGGAAAGGAGGGGGCATGGGGATGGAAAAGACGGTGGAATGAGATGGATATCATTACCCTAAGTACATGTATGAAGACATGAATGGTGTGACTCTACTTTGTGTACAACTAGAAATATTAAAAATTGTGCTCTATGTGTAATATGAATTGTAATGCATTCTGCTGTCATATATAACAAATTAGAATAAATAAAAAAAGAATTTGAAAACAAAATGTATTGTGAGCCGTGAAAGTGAGCCATTTAAAGTTTAAGTTTTCTACAGGCCATATTATAAAAAACAAAATGGAACAGGTAAAATTAGTTTCACTGATATACTTTATTTAATCTAATAGATTTAAAATATTGTCATTTCAACATGTAATCATTATAAAAATATTGCTCAGTGGTATAATGTATGCTTATCATGCCCAAAGGATGGGTGTAATCCCTGGCACCACCAGAAAAAAAAATTCATGAGATAGCTTTCCATTTTCTTTGCATATTAAGTTTTGAAATCTGGCATGGATTTTATACTTAGAGCACATCTCAGTCTGGACTAGCCTCATTTCAAGTGCTCTTTAGATAAATATGATTAGTGAGCTACCACATTGGACAATACAGTGTATACTAAAAAAGCATATTTCTTATTGGTCAGAGCAATGCTGGGGGTGGCATGTTAAGAGATCTAGCATATGTCATTCAAGGGGAACAAAGCCTGACCATGGTTTGTAGGAGGTAATCCAGCTGCATTCTCTTCTCTGTGATGCTTTAAACAAGATTGCAATCAAAAGCCTATGGTTTATGCATTTTAGATTTTGGACACATTGCCCCAGTACTTTCTTTTGACTCCTTTATCTGTCTGAAAAATTGTTTTCATCTTTAAATAACCATCAAGTATCACCTCTAGAAGCTTCCTTCCCTCACAGTCCTTTCTCTTTGCTTTGCACTTTCTGCACCTGGTTGCATTGACCCACAGCATTTTCATTTGCTGATGGCCATACCTGTTTTTCTCAGCAGACCATGAGCTCCTGGAGGCAAAGACTGTGTCTTAGTCATCTTTGTGTTACTAGTGCCTAGCACAGGTTTGGCATACAGTAGGTGCCTAATAAACAACATGTGAGAGGCAAACGGGGAGTGGGCTGAAAGATAGTCATTCTGATGTGCTCTGGGCCACTTGCATGATGTCCCGAGGGACACATGACAAAGAGGCATGATTCATGACCCCAGTTCTTTCTGCTTTCATTGGGACCTTTATGTGATGGTGCCAGCCATGCCATGCAGCAGACTGACTCGAAGCACTTCTTGGAGCTGTCCCCAAAGAATGTCTGGTGCTTATTGTTCCAATTTAACATTTAATAAGACACAGGCTTCTGACGTCATTGCCCACGTTGCTCAAAGTAGCAATGTCAATTAACCAAGGGAGGGAGTTCATTTTCAATGAGCTGGCCTTACCTCAATTTCCTGATAGGAGTTGTTGATCATGGCTATGAGCATGTTGAGCAGCACTACCACCATGGTGACGTTATAAACGCCATAGAGAACGTAGCCGATGTTCTCGATGAATTTGTGGTCATATTTCAGCACCACCGAGATCACTTCAGATAAGCCAAATATGGACCAAAATAAGGTTTTAAAACTTTCTTCAACCCTACAAGGAAACAGACAATCCTTTTATGAGGTCCGCGTGGGCTTACACTTGAATAATGCTGTCCTTGCCCAGACTTTAGTGGTCCCCCTGGAGTGGGAATGGAGCTGGTTGGTAGGGTATATGTTCTGAAATAATGAGATCTTCAGATTTCTAAGAAAACTTGGAAATTCTGAGTATTATAAATGGCAATCTTTTTTCCATTCAATCTATTAATTGGGAGTCCTGACTGAGGTATCATTTTTATCTTGCTGTAATTAATTAAACATCTAAAATTAAACACCAGGGCTAATGTTTGCTCAAAAGCATTATTAGCCTTGGAAAGCACCCTGTTCCTTCAGTAGACTCTGAAGCATCTTGTCTCAGTCTACACAGCCCCAGGTGAAGGGGAGCGAGGGCTGTGACCTGGGGAGATGGGCAGTGTCCACAGATGGAGCTGGTTTCCTTGGGGCCTGGCATTCACTGGGCACTTGGCTTAGAACAGCTCACATCAGCTTCATGGCCACCTGTGTGGTAGGCTCACTTTTACCTCCATTGCACATACCTGAGGCTAGCTGCATATATTAAGTCTTCTAAACTAGGATGGAATTATTAGAAATGAAAGCAAGGAGTCCACATTGTTAAAATTCACCAGGTAACTGCACAAATCTCCCCCTGTGGCGCATTCAGGTGGATGCTACACGTGCTTTGACAGCAGTTTAGATAAGATCTGACTTTTAGAATATTGTTCTTGGACTCTTTTGAGACTATGAAGATACTGAAATACAGTTATTTTAAGCCTAAAGCCCAAACACATTTCACGGTCCCTATTTATGGCTATGCCCATGTATCGGATTTATGACCTCAAACACATCAGAAAGCTGGATTTTGCCTTGGTGGTCTGGAACATGCCAAATCAAAACAACCAAATCTGGAACAACCATCCGAATGGCTAAGTCAGTTCTTTAATTGTGCATCCAAATTTTTGTTACCATTATGAGAAAGAAAAAAACTTTTTCATTTTAACATTTCAGGTTTTTAACACTCCACCCACAAAAAGCCAGGATTAACTAGATCTCAAAAAGAAAAAAAAATCAGTGTCTCTCAAGGATTGATATTTATTTGACAGGATGTATAAAAATACTAGTACTTGTCACTTGAGCTAAAAATCCACTCTTGATTTGCATGAATTTACAGCTCTCTTGAGTGTGCATGTGTGTGTGTGTGTGTGTGTGTGTGTGTGTAAGCCTAGCCAGCTGTTTGGCTTGTTCCCTATGAATCCAAGAGTCTGAAAAACTGGTAGGTGAAGTTGGGTTTGTGTTGTCAGTGTTCGTTTTTGATTTCTTTTAAGGCTGTGATTTTGGAACAATTAAGTCATTTCAGTGTTGGCAGGGAGAAATTCGGTTATGGGTTTTGAAGTAATGACTGGGTCTCTAAGCCTTGTCTGCAGATATCCTGAAGCTGTTCTGAGATGTGGAAAAGTAGTTCCGTTATGTGAGATGCAGTACCTGCTTTGTGGGAAACAATGCCACACACTGTGTGGCAAGACTCACTACAGTGTTGTCTCCTATTGCAAAATAATCTTCCAGTTATCCTTCTAGTGGAAGAGAACAGTGCAGCCAGAGTCCAAAACCACTGGATGAACCCCAAATCCCAAAATGGGAGGGGATAGCAGGGATGTGGTCTCCCTGATGGTTGTTCCCTTCAGTGGAAAATCACTTAGAGGGGGTTGGCCAAGCAGGTGCTGGCTTAGGACTCTGTACTTGCCATGAACAATGTAAAAAAATGGCTAATACTTGTGACAGAGAGATATTTTACCCAAATTCATTTTCCCTTTCTTACCTTGGAATACCCCACAAACTCTGGCTGACACTAAGGAGGCAAGCAATTATAGAACGTATCCATGGAAAACCTTCTGAATTTTGATTTGGTAAAATGGGCCTGGTTTCAGCATGTATTGTTTTCTCGTTTGCTTCTCACCATGAATTTTGCCACTGAGGACCAATTTACCCCTGACTCCTAACGTAGGCATTCTGTGTCAATAATCAGAAGGAGGCAGAGCTGGTCCATTAAGCAATGTCTGTTGTGGTAAAGGAATACTTACAAATATCTTAGCCTATGCCTCAGCCCCTCCTCTGCCTGGTCCTCCAGCAGAGGACATACCTAGCTTGGAACAATAATCAGTTTCTATTTGTTGTCTGTTTTCCAGCCAGACTTTGTACTCTGTACCTATTTCATTTCTATTCTGTTGTTTAGAGATTAACCTCTGAACTTGGACTTGACCATGCTCTTTAGGAGACTCTAACTATAAGGGGCTCAGACTCATGGGGACATGAGCAATAACCAGCTGCAGCGGCTGGCCAGGAAGAGCTCTTAGCCAAACTATGCATTTCTAAAAATTTCTTCCATGCTCTGAAGGGACTGTGTCTATGAACCTTGTTTCCTCCTTTTTATGAGGAAAAAAAGAGTTGAGGCAACAAAGTCCTTCTTTAAAGAAAAGGTGGGTGTATTGGCTTGAATCACCCAGGATGGCTAGATTCATCATTTAGGTCTCTTGGGTCTTTCATTTGTACCTATACCTCTTGACATGACCACAGAAAATTAACTTGTCTATATCAAAAACATAATAAGAAAACTATAAGGCAGAAAACTAAGTGAGGAAAAAAATCTGTATTTGCAAACATGAGGCAGACAATGGATGATGTCCTTCTTACATAAAGAACTCTTATAAGAATCAACATGAAAATGATAGACATAATTGTAGAAAGCAAAGGGAAGAAAAACTTTAGTGACAGGAGCTTTACAATTAATGTGACATGCCATGCTGGTATCATTTTCTAGTTTTAATATATGGCTGGAAATAAATGAAACTTGGCCTCACTATGCTAAGTGGGAAAAGATTTGTGTTACCTTGACCTGGAGACCTACAAATATATATTTTCAGAGAGAAGGTTGGTCCTGGAAATAAGCTCGTAATACATTGCTGATCCCCAGGACTCAGGCCCTAGAGCTGGCCCTAGTGTCCTGTGAGGTTAGTATGCTCTCTGAGTTAGCTATTAATCATCATCCACAATTTTCAGGGGCAATGGAACATAGGGCATGGGACAGAAGGCTCGTCATTAGGGAGGTCTGGGGCTGGCAAAGGAAGAAAGTGTCTTAGCATGGGCTTAACTGATATTTATCATGAAGCCACCCTTTTCATGAACTAGTAGGTTTCAAGGCTAAAATTTAGGCTCTTTACTGGCAGGGATGGAAACCACTTCCTCCCACCCATGCTGGCTGTAGAGTCACAGATCCCTTCAACTGTGTCAATCACAAGTGTTTTCACAGAGATATTTGGGGGAGTAAAAAAGGCAAAGGTGCATAGCTGGATTCAAATCTCAGCAACATCATGCGCTGGCTGTGTGAATTTGGGTATGTTACAAGTAAGCCCTTTTAAGTCTCCATTTACCCATCTATGAAATGGGCATAATGGCACCTTATTATTCAGATGCTATAAAGATGAAATGAGAAACATATGTAAAGTATATAATAATAGCCCAATAAATGATAGCTACTATTTTGATTCATTTGTTTATTTTCTGAATTCTGATTGTGTAGTAGGTTATGAGGATACGGTGATGTCCAGAACAAATGTGTTTGTCCTTTTGTAGGTCCCAGTTGAAAAAAAAAAGCCCAATAAGGTGAGAGAATGCTGTGACATCACAAGCATGTTGCTCCGTTTGCCTCTGCCTTCCCCAGTCACACATATAACCCATCAACTCCTTAGGTGCTTCAACCCAGGCAGGCCTGAATGAAGTTAATAATTCAGCTACTTATTGACTTTTCTGAACAAGCCTCATTTTTTTTTTCCTATCTGCAAAGATCATCACAAACCCTTGATTTCATGCAAATTCTCCTTCTGATTTCTCTAGCCCATGCTGTTTTTTTTATTTTTGGCTCTTGGCTGCCAGTGGAAGGGACTGAAGTTTAGTCAATAGGCCACCCTGGCATAAGAAGCACTCCTAATGAAGGAAGAGAGAAAAGTGCCCGTGAGTGATGTTGAATAGAACATGATTCACCCTTCTCTGACTGGGCGGGGGTGTGTATGTGTGGGAAGGTTGGGGCTGATTTGTCATGCATAAAGCAGGGACAAGGTAATCAGTTCTCTACCAGGTCTGTCTCGCCTGGATAATGAGACTTTAATAACAGGTTGCCTGAAGAGGCAGTTGTGTATGGGCCTCAGAGAACAAACTGATCAACAAGGCGAGGGTTTAGGGCAATTGTTATGAAAATTGCTGCTTCTTCAGAATGCCAGGACTCCCTCCCCCACTCCCCACCCAGCAGTTCAGTTCAGTTACCTACCCAAATCTGCACATAGCAGGCTAAAATTAAGCAGGAGGATCAGACCTCAAAAGGCTGTTTCTTGGGTTCAGAAGATAATAGCTGCTGCTGCGCTAGAGTTCTGTCACAGGGGAAACAATGCCTGCCTGCCATCCGAGCTGGGCTGATGGAGGAAGGTGTCTGGAGTGAGAAGAGACCTTATTGGAGGGCTGTGTTTCCACAGTGGCCAGACCCAGAGACCAAATGAGTCAGGCTTGAGGAAGGTCAGGAGAGATGGCCAAATGCCCAAGGAAGTCTGCACCTCATCCCCGTCACCCTGCAGGGTTTTAGCCTCTGAACTACCTTCTCGTTCTACCTTCAGTCCTGGATAAGGAATTTGATTTAGACAGTCCAGAAGGAGAGGAGTCTGGCCACAGAAGCAATGCCAAAGCAGCCTGGATTCATTTATATTGAGGATCAAGCTATGATCACAGTAGTTTGGGAGCTCTTTGGGGGCAGAGGCTAAGCTTCTTGGTCTCTGAGACTACATATACAGGCTGACACCCAGGAGGCACTTAGTAAATTCAATGTCTGTTGCATGAGTGGATAAATGGATCTCTGATGCACATTTTGACTTCCTTTTCTCTGATCCTAGTTTCATGGCTGATGAATGGGTCAGTATGTGGGTTCTGATGCCTGGCAAACCTGGGTTTGACTAAGTTTTTTGCCAAATAACGTACCTGCTCTATGTCTCTTTTTTCCTGGAGATAAAATAGAAAAATAATAACATCTGTTTTCTAGGATTGTTTGTAAGGATTAAATGAATTAATAGGATGCTTGTGAGTTGCATAAAATACTGTCTGGTACTTACCAATGGCACAATAAATTTTATGAATTTTATTAGTAGTAGTACTACTAGTTTTTTAAATTCTCTCTCTCTCTTAATTGCAATAGGCTTTAGGATCTGACTGAAATCCTCTGACACCCACAGTTAACTCTCAGAAGAATCCTTTACGAGTAGAAATCAGATCCTGCACTTCCCTTCTTAGCTTCCATATGGCCAACAATCAAAGCCAATCACCTGGCTGAACTCTTTAATGCCATGGGCAATCTGGCTCCTGCCACTTTCTGGAGCCCCTCTGGGCAGTTTAGTTTCCTGAGGAATGACAGTTGAAATCTTTCCATCCTAGACTGAATTTTAGTTAAAAAAAAAAGAAAG